TTTGTGTGTGTGTGCAGGTACATACATTACAGAAAGAGAGAGAGTAAGAAAGAGAGATGAGGGAGTCAGACCTCGCCTTCATTTTCTCTTATTTTGTAAGACTGTTGATTACAGTGGCAGTGATAGGAAATTGTCTGGTATTATGTATATACCCAAGAGAAACTAAATTGTCACAAGTGTTGTAATGTACATAACCTTCCTGCCAGAATGGTGTGCAAATGTACTTAATTTGAAGAATATATAAATTAAATTTGTATTGATATGTTGAAATATTTTAGCTATACAATAATGTATTGATAAATTATGCATGAATGATTTTAAAAATAATACATCAAGTTAACAAAACAAACAAAATTAAATCCCTTATAGATTTATTTTCTAATATTTTTGGAATACTGAAATCAATAAGCTAGAACATAGGTAATGAAAATAGATTAAAAAGAATTACAGATACTACACATTGGTGTTTATTTTGAATTGATGGAAAGTTCTATAATTAGATATCATTAATGGAAGCATAACATGGTGATTAAAATATCAAGCACTGAAATATTAATTTTGAGATAAATATATTGTTCTGTGAATACCCAGCTTAAAGTACATATATAAAATCGTGTCTTGGTGGCACATGTATTTAATCGTACTCAGGAGGCAGAAACAGGAAGATCTCTATGAGTTCCACCCAGCCAGGTGGAAGACACATCTCAAAAATTAAGAAAATACTTACTGAGAAAATGAATTCAGTATCATACTGTAATCAGACAGTGAAGGTTTATAAACTGAGAGATCTAGGTGCATACACACATGTCATGGTGTTGATCCTGGGGAAACACATCCCCATCTGTGAGCACCTGTCGGTCATGTAAACCAAAACATTGCTAGAAAAGGCTGCTGCTCTGTGGCATATTTTCAAGATGGGATTCATAGCTAACTAACACTGAGGGGCAGGGAATTGTTCTGAGAAGTTTACAATGCTCTGCCTATCATTTTTTGTGTCTTGATACAGCTTCCTGAGGGTCTGACTCAGGAGGTCTGGGCAGATATAGAAATATTTGTTTCTAGCCAGTCCCCAAGAATGACATTGCTATTGAGTGTGATGTTACATTAATGGAAGATTATGTAGTTGATATGAGGCCTTATGCTCATATATTGTTCCCTGTCATCTGTTGTTAATGAGAGGCTTTCAGCTTACATTGTGATGCTTGGTAGTTACTTCAGTGTATGTTATGCCACTAGCAGGGCTTAGAGATGACAGGTGAGCTTTAGATTGCTCAACCTCATCCCCTCACCCTGTCCCTTGGTTTACTTCTCAAACTCAATGTTGAGAGCTCAATGATGCCCAAAAGAATTGTAAAATGATTCTTGAGGTCATCTGTCATTAGACTCAAAGTCTCATGAACATTGTATTTTTTTAAATTTTTTATTAATTACACTTTATTCATTTTGTATCCCCCCATAAGCCTCTCCCTCCTCCCCTCCCGATCTCACCCTCCCTCCCCTTTCTGCATGCATGCCACTCCCCAAATCCACTGATGGGGAGGTTCTCCTCTTCTTTCTGGTCTTAGTCTATCAGTTCTCATCAAAAGTGGCTGCATTGTCCTCTACTGTGGCCTGGTAAGGCTGCTCCCCCCTCAGGGGGAAGTGATCAATGAGCAGGCCAATCAGATTATGTCTGAGGCAGTCCCTCTTCCCATTACTATGTAAACCACTTGGACACTGAACTGCCATGGGCTATACCTGTGCAGGGGTTCCAGGTCATCTCCACGAATAGTCCTTGGTTGGAGTATGATTTTCTGGGAAGTTCCCTGTGTTCAAATTATCTTGTTCTGTTGCTCTCCTTGTGGATTTCCTGTCCCCTCCAGCTCTTACTATTTCCCACTTCTTACATAGAATTCCATTCACTCTGCCCATCAGTTGGCCATCAGGCTCAGCATCTGCTTTGACAGTCTATACTGCAGAAGCTTTCAGAGGCCCTCTGTGGCAGGTTTCAAGGTTGTTTCCTGTTTTCTTCTGGCTTTCAGAGGCCCTCTGTAGCAGGTTCCGAGGTTGTTTCCTATTTTCTTTTTCTTCTGATGTCCATCCTCTTTGCCTTTCAGGATGGGGATTGAACATTTTAGTTAGGGTCCTCTCTTTTGCTTAGGAATAGCGCTTCCTCAAGATCCAGCCATACCACTCCTAGGCATATACCCAAAAGAGGCGCAAGTACACAAAAAGGACATTTGCTCAACCATGTTTGTAGCAGCTTTATTTGTAATAGCCAGAAGCTGGAAACAACCCAGATGCCCCTCAACTGAAGAATGGATGCAGAAACTGTGGTACATCTATACAATGGAGCAATGAAAAATAAGGAAATCATGAAATTTGCAGGTAAATGGTGGGACCTGGAAAGGATCATCCTGAGTGAGTTGTCCCAGAAGCAAAAAGACACGCATGGTATATACTCACTCATATAAACATACAATATAGAATAAACCCACTAAAATCTGTACATCTAAACGAACATCGTATTTTTGATGAAGATGCCTGTTCACTTTGCATTATATATATATATATATATATGGGGGAATTATTTCTAAACCCATTTTATCACGACAAGGAAGGGTTTATTAAGAACAATATATAAAGATGACATGAGGGGATCTGGCCCTGAGGTAGGAGGTCTTAGTATGGCCTATACCTTTGAACAAGATTTTATGTTCAAAAAGCACAGTGAGACATTTTATATGCAGAACTATTATAGAGAATCAGAAACATCAGAGGCAAGGAGAACTCTGTCTAGGCAGATGTTCAGGATCCTTGGTGCAGACAGATGAGAATGAGAAACTTCACCTGGTATGGAGCAGAGGAAGATACTTCTGATAAGCTATGAAGGTGATAAGACAGTGATAATGACTGTGCTGACGTGGATTATCAGGATCTTACTGGAAACAGGATGACACAGGAAGTGCACAGACATAGTTACCAGAAGCTCAGAGCTCTGAATGGATTGTGCCCTACTATTACTGAACAGATATTGAATAAGTAGGTATTTTGAAGACTAATGGTCCTAATATTGTACTACTCTTCTAAATTAAAAATCCTTCATTGTTTCTCCCATTTTTAGCATTTCTTGGTTAATTTTAGATTTTGTGCACATGGACAGTGTAGTATGTAGGTTTTTCAGTATTAGGCTTTGGCCTTGAATCTTGCTATCTTGATTGGGAATCTCTCTTCTAAAGATTTATGTAAAAAACAGTGTGTTCCATCCTCACACTGTGCAGGAATGTATTCAAAGCTCTATATTCTCACAGGGTCTCACTGTACCTGTGGATTAAACATGAAATGCTAGTCTAAAACATACTCATCCCATTATACATGGATGGTAGCCAAGATCATTGTCTAAAAAATAAGATAAGTGTTGTGTTGAAATGCTATGCAGCTTTACCAAGAAAATATTTCTGCCACTCATCAAGCACAATGTCAGATATCATGTGATCCAAGGCAGAAAGGCTGACTCTCTGGCTTCCTCTGAGAAGGTTTAGCTTATCACAGTCTACTGAGGCAGGCCACACTTAAGCCTCCAGGACAGGTAGGGTCAGCTCTTAGTAACAGCCTGCAGTTTCACAGCCTAAAGGTCCAATCCATTTACAGCCAATCAGGAGGGTAAGGTTGAGGAGTGGGATTGACTATTTAGATATTTGGGATTTAAGGCCTGAGTAGAGTGTTGCTGGACAAGATCCTGAGTTCTCAGCAACTTCTGAAGAGTTGAGTCTGTGGAGTGTACCGAAGAAGCAGCTAAAGTCACCATAGGTAAGGCCCTGCCTCTGTTAAGGCAGAACAGGAAGTGACCCTGGAGTACAGGCATGAGAGACTTTTTTGAGAATCAGACAGAGACCCATGAATCAGAATATCTCTCAGTCATGGTAGCTCTGCCGTGTGGAGGTAGAGGGTGGGGAAGCCAGAGAGGAAGTTGGGCTCCTGCTGGGACCAGGTTTATATAGGTTCCCATTAAGTACAAGTTTAGTTCTGTTCACAGAGAATGAGAGCTACCTACCATCTTCCTTGTCCACATCTTTTTATGCCAATGGAACATCCTCTTGCATATATCTATTGGGTACCATCCTCTGTTCTTGATTGGCATATGCAAAAATAGCAGCTGGCATGTCATCACATGTCCTATGGAGAGTGCTACTTAATAGATCCAGCAGCTCCTTACTTCAATCCTGAGAGTGCCCTTTCTCTTGCACCCAACTAGTGTCTCTGGTTTCCACTGTCTCTTCCATGTGACTCAGTCTTCATGAGGTAGTGAGTTGGGGCACATAGTCACAAGGGTGGGGAAAGGAAATAGTAGCTGTTATTTTTCACATATTTTCTAAGGGGACAGTCCAGAAAATTATAATTCAAGATGTGAAATTTCAAGAAAAAATCAACTCCTGCTGTACTTCAAGCAGAAATATGAAGGCATCCAGCCCCAAGTGATGAAGTAACCTTATATTTAGGATCAGGTGACAGATGAGGGAAGTTTTACTTCATATCAATCCTGGTTCAAATGCGCCTGGAGACCTTAGTTGCATATGTTTTGAACTTTTAGGAGCATGATCATCTTCTGATAATGTAGGTTTGTAGCACAGGAGCTGCTTACATTTCTAGAATTCTGAACATGTATTTTACATTTTGATGGAGCAACTAAATAACATTCATGGAGCTTTTTAAAAATTGTTGTTTGTTTCTTTGTTTGTTGGTCTAAATATATATATATATATATATATATATATATATATATATATATATATATTCAGCCATTTTCAAAAATCTGTAGATTAAATATTGAAAGAAGAGTTCAAATAATTTTATCCACCATGGAATCTTAAATGTTCAAGAAGGAATAAGAAGGCATTTTATCAGTGTTGGTGGGAAAGCCAGAAAGGAACCTAAGCCCTTCCTAGGTCCAAGTTTGTATAGGTTCCTATTAAGTACATGTTTATCTCTGTTCTTTTCTTCACCATCTAGGTGGTTGAGACATGACTTTTGCTGTCTTCATGGCTTTCTTATGCTTGGGAGTGGCCTCAGCCATTCCTTCACTGGATTCTAGCTTGGATTCTGAATGGCAGGAGTGGAAGAGGAAACATGAAAAAATCTACAGCCCGGTTTGTAACATGGGAACTGTCCAGAGTGACCCCAGAGAGAATGGCCTTTACTATAGGGAGATTATGGTAAAACCAAAGCCATGGGGTTCACCCCTCACCCATGAAATACCTATACAGACCTTGAACATAAGGAGTCAGCATCTCTGTTGCTTATTGTGTGGTGAATGAGCAGTCCAAAGATTTCCGACTAAGGCTCCTCTTCTTTCTTGACACAAGCCTCATTATTCAGAATATGTGGGGGCTTAAGTAGAAAATAAATCTCCATTACATTTATTCTAGGATGAAGAAAGAGGGAAGAGAATGGTATGGGAGAAGAATATGAAAATTATCAAAATGCACAATGCAGAGTATGACGAGGGAAAGCACAGCTTCTCCATGGGAATGAACTCCTTTGGTGACTTGGTGAGTGTGACATGGATTGTCTCACACAAGGTTTGTTGTCTCCAGTTGTATATGTGGAGCTTTTTGCTCTTTAACTATTTATTTACTTTTACTTGAAGACTGATGAAGAATTTAAGGAAATGATAGCCCGTCCTCGAATCCCATATCCCAGGAGGGGGAAGAGAATTCAGAAACGTATGGTTGGTGGTGTTCCCAAATCTGTGGATTGGAGAAAGGAAGGTTATGTGACTCCTGTGCAGCATCAGGTATGACAGAATCACATGCTCACTGTCCTCAATCATTAGGAAGAAGAGAAGGAAATGACATCTCTGTGTGAGATGAGAACAGGATGACATGCAATTTATTTCTAAAGAATATTTTTTTAATTTTTCGATAGTTCTATATATTATACAGTACATATTAATCATATCTGTCAACTGTTGCTTCACTGTATCTCCACGTAGAGGCTTTGCCACATTTCCATTCAGAATTCATGTCTTTTTTTTTAATTTATCATTAAAAACCACCAGACAGCAGCAAGTCCTGCCTATATGCCTATATATGTACAAAAAGGAATCCATCAACCTGTCATGCCTTGGGGCATAAGCAAATGACCAGTAGCTAAGTTCCAAAGGATGCCTTTCCTTTCCTTTCTACTGATCCAATAGCTACCACCGTTCATCTTTTGATTTAAAAAGGAAAAAAAATACTATTCAGCCATATGATATAGAATTGCAACTTGTTTGTAAAAGATTCTCTTTTCTTCTCTGCTTAGGGCAGGTGTAATTCTTGTTGGGCTTTTTCTGTGGCTGGTGCCATAGAAGGACAGATGTTCCGGAAAACAGGAAAACTGGTTCCTCTGAGTGTACAGAACCTAGTGGACTGCGTTAAACCTCAAGGCTGTTCTTCAGGCTCAACAAACTATGCCTTACAATATGTGAAGGACAACGGAGGCCTGGAGGCTGAGAAAACCTACCAATATGAAGCAAAGGTAAGTGGACTGTCTAAGTTATCATTTCAGCCACCTTTAGGCAAAGAGACAACCTCAGTAATAACCCACTGTCTTCAGATTCCAATTGGACAACAGTCTGTCCCATACACCATCAGAGCTGTCCTCACAATGGAGGCCTTTGCATGGTTGTTCGAATCAATGGTTTTCATGTAGCTGTCCCTCTTTCTGTGCACACAAAGAATATGTAAAACATTCTACATATACTCTAAGTTTCTCTTCTGTTTAAATTTCCTGTGAACAGGAAGACTTATGGGGTGTTATTGAAGATATGAGAGGTAATTTTCAGTTCCAAGTCTCCCAGTTCACTTTACTTCCTGGGATTATTTAGTATAGCCCAAATGTGGGATGCTCAGCTGCAAAGTGCAGAATGATGTGGTTATGACTCATTCTCCCCAGGAGGTGGATGTAGGTAACAGAGTCTTTTACCTTTTTACCTTTTAAAGGAAGGGCCCTGCAGGTACCATCCTGAGCGTTCTGCTGCTAGAATCACAGACTATGTGATTCTCCCAAGGAATGAAGAAGCCCTAATGAATGCTGTGGCAACTATAGGGCCCATTTCTGCTGACATTGATGCTGCACATCTTTCATTCAGGTTCTATAGGGAAGGTGAGCACATGCTTTCTATATACTAATGAAGAAATTTTGTAGTGCCCTCATGGCATGACAGGTTTGATGGATTCCTTTTTGTACACAGTATAATGTGAGTGTTTGTGTTCATGGATTTTGTACCTCTCCATGCTGTATACCTATACATTTTTACTTGACATGACTTACCTTATACATGTGAGCACTTTCGAAGTCATAAAATTTATTATGCTGCTTCATTCACTCACTTCTCTCCATTTAGTTAATCTCCAAGATATTTGGGATACTGTAACTCTTATAAAATGTCTTGAACTAAGGAGTTTATATCCAGTGGTGCTTCCTTGGACTGAGAAACCATTAATGAAAGCACAAAATATCAAGGAGTTATACGCATATAAGCAAGTGTTTATCAACAAAGTTATGCTTATTGAGATTCTTTTGGAGTATTATGAGAACCTCTATCAGTATTAATCTTATTTCTACTAAAGTTTCTGAAAATTTAGTGAAATCAGAAATGCTTCACCTATTTTTTATTATTATGGTCATTACGAGGTTCCTGAAGCCTCTCACACTTTTCTTGATTTTATTTTTCAGGAGTTTACTACGAGCCAACTTGCAGCACGGTCCGTGTGAATCATTCAGTTCTGGTGGTCGGCTATGGTGTTGAAGCAAATGGCACCAAGTACTGGCTACTCAAGAACAGGTATCAATTGCTAAAATTATTATTTAAAATGGCAAAAAGACTTTCTTTGTAGTGAGAATTTGGAAGCAAGTCTCCCCAAAAGCTGTTCCACTTAAAATAAATAGCAGGATCACTTTTTTTTTTTTTTATTTCACCCACATCCACGTATGTGGTGTGTGTGTGTGCGTGTGCGCACGCGCATGTGAAGACCTGATGTGGACATCAGTTTTCTTCCTTAACCCTTCTTAACTTATATACTGAGTCTTGGGCTTTTACTTTTGCTATTTTGCCTAGCGTCCTTAGTAGTTTCATTAAGGTAAGTCCTGGCCTCTGTGATTACAGGCGAGCTGCAAAGATAACCTGCTTTTTCTTCAAGATTTATTATTTGCCTTTATATGTTAGTGAGGGTGTCTCTGTGAATGCATGTTAGCTGTGGGCATGTGCCAGGACATATAGGAAGAGGATATTTGATTTATTGGAGCTGCAGTTTCATATGTCTGTGAGCTGATTGACATGGGGGGCTGGAAAGGAGCATAAGTTCTATGGAAGGGCCTTAAGTTCTTTTAAGCTCTGAGCAGACTCCATCTTGATGTTTCATGGGATCCTGGACTTGAACTACAGTCCTTCCCCTCGCATGGAGAGCACTTGTCCCCCTAAGCAGTTTCTACAGCTATAACAACAACTCTAGTGCATGATCACAATTCTGAGATTCTGTCACTGTGGTTTTATTGTTCTGTTCTGTGGTTTTACTGTCATATTCGTGACATTGCTTTTCTAAACTCTGGTACATTTGTTAGTTGTGAATCACACACAGGTGAAGACACAGTCATTCTCTGCTGTGATTTTCACAGCCCATGAAAGGTAACTATAGGTACTCAGGCATTGCCCCTTTGTTGTTTCTAATTTTTTTTTTGTTATGTTGAGGAGTTGTAGCTTTAATAAAGTTGCTATTCTGTATCCTACTAAACAGAAAAACATGCTTTGTTTCAGCCATGGTACAAATTGGGGCCTGAATGGATACATGAAACTGATCAAAGACCGTAAAAACCATTGTGGAATTGCTTCATTTGCTATGTATCCCACTGTGTGAGAGACCTTTTCATGACAGGAGTGGACTGGACTTGAGACAGCATGTACAGAGAGGTATTCCTTTTCACAGTGAGCACCCTCTGATGTGTTCATACAATACCTGAGTTATTGAACAGCCATATTGTGATGTGAATTTTGTGACATCTTCACTCTATTTAGACATGATGTCTCCTGCAAGAAATGTTATTCACTGATGTGTATTAATAATTCCTATAACAACTTAAGACTTTAATGACTATAGCAAATAATGACTTTAACAAAAAAACACAATAAATTAAAATGTAGTATCTAGCCCCCTTCTGTTTAGTGATGGTAACTTTTTCATGTGTTCAAAACATAAGTCAGCCATAAGTCATAACCGAATGTGGAGCTGACGTACACGCAGAAAAAAAAATAGGCAGCTATTCTTTCAATAAGCCAGTATTCCGTGCATGGTTGTGGTTTGTCTGCAGGGTCTTATGATTTCACCTGCAAACCTCATCTTAAAGTCCATATGAAAATAGGCTAGTTTTGAAAATTTGAATTCAGATGAATTTAGCTGGTTAAACTTAAGGGCCGTTCTGTATAGTGAGATGGCACCACATGCTGATATAGTGCATCGACCCTGGGATGGGAAACACCCTCATCTAGGTGTTTCACCTCAAACCTATGTTCTAGTTTCTCTGTGACTGTGTCAGAGACAACAAGGTGATCTGTTCTATAGTTACATAATTGGGTTTCATGTTATGCTCTCAGAAGCTTCAGTACCTGAACGTGCGAGACTACTAAAATGTCTTTCTTTTAATTTTTATTTATTTATTATTTATTACAATTTATTCACTTAGTATCCTGGCTGTTTCCCCTTCCCTCATCTCTTCCCAGTCCCACCTCCCTCCCTCTTTTCCCCTATGCCCCTCCCCTAGTACACTGATAGAGGAGGTCCTCCTCCCATACTCTTTAACCCTAACACATCAGGTCTCATCAGGACTGATACTACTCAGCAATTAAAAACAAGGAAATCATGAAATTTGCAGGCCAATGTATGGAAGTATAAAAGATCATCCTGAGTGAGGTAACCCAGAACCAGAAAGACTCTTGTACTCACTTATATGAAGATATTAGCCAAATAATATAGAATAAACATATGAAAATCTATAGTCCTAAGAAGCTAACAAGGAAGACGCTGAGTAAGATTCCTAATCCTTATTCAGAAAGGCAAACAGGATAGAAATCTGAAGTGGGAGAAGACAAGGACACACAGTGCAGCAGCCCACCACAGAGGGCCTCTGAAAGACTCTACCCAGCAGGGTCTTGAAGCAGATACTGAAACTCACAGACAAACTATGGGCAGAATGCAGGGAATCTTAGGGAAGAAGGGAGACAGAAAGACCTGGAGGGGACAGGAACTTCACTGGAAGAGCAACAGAACCCAAAATCCTGGAAACAGAGGCTGATAATAAATACTCCAACCAACGACCATGCAGGGAGATAACCTAGAACCTCTGCACAGATGTATCCCATGGCAGACCAGTCTCCAAATGGGGTCCCTAGTAAGAAGAACAGGCTCTTTAGTCACCTCCCCCTGAAAGGGAGCAGCCTTACCAGATCACAGAATTAGACAATTCAGCAAGTCCTGATGCAACCTGATAGGCTAGGGTCAAATGGAAGGAGAGGAGGACCTCCTCTATCACCGGACTTGGGGAGGAGCATGGGAGGAGAAGAGAGAAGGAGGATGGAATTTGGAGGGGATAAGGGAAGGGGCTACCTCAAGGATTCAAAGGGAATAAATTGTAATAAATTAAAAAAGGAAAAAAGAAAATAAATGCTCAACGTACTTAGTTATCAGGGAAATGCAAATCAAGCAATCCTGAAAGTCTACCTTATAGCCATAAGAATGGCTAAGATAAAAAAAAAAAAAAAAAAAAAAAAAAAAAAAAAAAAAAAAAAAAAAAACTCAAGGGATAACACATGCTAGGGAGAAGTTTTGGGAAAAGGGAACGCTCCTTCATTGCTGGTGAGATTGTAAACTTGTACAACCACTTTGGAAATCAATCTGGAGCTTTGTCAGAAAATTAGGAATAGTACTAACTCATGATCCAGCTATACCACTCCTGGGCATATAACAGAAAGATGCTCAACTATACAACAAGGACATTTGCTCAACTATGTTCACAGCAGCTTTATTCATAATATCCAGAATCTGGAAACAACCCAAATGTCCCTTGCTTGAAGAATGGATACAGAAATTGTGGTACATTTACACAATGAACTACTACTCAGCAAGAAAATCATGAAATTTACAGGCAAATGGATGGAACTATAAAAGACCACCTTGAGTGAGGTAACCCAGAAACAGAAAGACTCACATAGTATGTATTCACTTATAAGTGGATATTAGCCATATAATATTGGATAAAATATTACATACTAAAATCTATATACTAAATCTATAAAATATATAGACTAAATATATATAGACTATATATACTAAAACCTATGGTCCTAACGACACTAAACAACAAGGAAGACCCTACAGAAGAGGCTTAATCCTCATTCAGAAGAGCAAATAGGATAAACATCAGAGTAGGAGAAAACAAGGAACAGGACAGGAGCCTTCCACAGGGCATCTCTGAAAGTCTCAACCCATCATGTTATCATAGCAGAGGCTGAGACTCATAGCTAACCTTTGGGCAGAGTGCAGGGTATCTTATGGAAGAAGGGGGAGATAGAAAAATCTGGAGGGGACAGGAGCTCCACAAGAAGACCAACAGAGCCTAAAATTCTTGGCTCAGTTGGTCCTTCAGAGACTGATGTGTCAAACAAAGAACCATGCATGGAGAGGACCTAGACACTCTGCTCAGATGTAGCCCATAGTCAGCTCAGTCTCCATGTGGGTTCCCTAGTAAAGGAAGCAGGGTCTGTCTCTGACATGGACTCAATGGCTGGCTCTTAGGTAAACTCTTCCTGATGAGGTGGCCTAATTTGGCCACCAAGAAAAAGGATCCAGACTATCTCGAGGACACCTGATAGGCTAGAGTCAGATAGTAGGGGAGAAGGACCTGCTCTACCAATGGACTAGGAGAGGGACTTTGGAGAGGAAGAGGGAGAGAGGATGAGACCAGGAAGAGATGAGGGGAAAAGCTACAGCCAGGATACAAAGTAAATAAATTGCAATAAATAATAATAACAATTAATTAATTTTTAAAAGTTGGCAAAGCATTGCCCATGAGGAAGGCACTGTACTTGTTGCTTGACAATATACAAGGAAGTCATAGACCTCCACAGATAAAATTCTCTTTTTAATTCCTTCATATAAATAAGAAACATAAAAGGAATACTTATGGGTCTAAGCCTATTCAAGTTACATTTACTAGGATAAACTTATTGAAATTCTAGAGAGTGGATGAAGTCCTGATTGAGTGTGTGCTGTTGGCATGAGCATGGACATGCCAAGGACTCTAGTGCCTCAGCCCCATGGGAACAGAACAAGCTACCCTCTGTGAAGAAAAGAAGGATGGCAATGCATTCCTCTGTTCTAAGTCAGAATGCTGATTAACGACTGATCATCTAAAACCAGGGTCGGCAGAAATTACCAACCACACCTGCCTCCTTTCTACCATTTACTGCCTGTGTTGAGTTTGCTTCACTACAGAGACCTCCACCCAAAATTAGTTAACATTTCTTCTACATTCTGTGTATAATAAAGGTGCTGAGTTTCTGCACTGAAATAATACGTACGTTCTATCAGAGTGAGCACTGTCTACCCTGTTTCTGATTTTCTGTATGTTTGTTTATTATTTCCCTACTTTTAAAATTTTCTTTATTCCCTATCCAACTAGTCATGTTTTCAGGTCTCAGCTGTGTTAGAGTACACAATACATACCATTACATGAGCAATGGTTACTTGTTATGAAACAAAAACATAAACTCCTGTTCTTCCTATTACAAATGATAAGAAATACTCATTGTTTGTTTTATGGAAGCCAATATAGATCAGAAAAGACTTTTTGACAAAAATACTTAACTCCCAAGAGTATTTTACATTGTTCTTTTCATATGAGTGAATACCAGATTTCTAAAATTTGAGAAATTTGTTAACTCCAGTTTGAGTTCCATGGGAATAAGTCATGGAAACTTCAGGGTTCCATAAAGAAACAACACATTTAAAATGGCAGATTACTGGGAAAGTAAAATGAAATGAGGGGAGAGCATCTCTGTGTCTAGAAAGCTAGGAATATCCAATAGGAATGTAAACTCTGGCCAGAATGGGAGTAATCTATGCATGACATTTTAGCATGGTTCTTGGCCTGCTGGATCACTGCAGTTGGTGCAGTTTATTAAAATTAAAAGATGCATCAATAGGGAAAGAGTGGAGGGAAAGACTAAAAAATGGGAAGAAAGTGAGGAAGAAATGAATGAATAAAGGCATTAAAGTAAGAAAGGAAGAGAGGGAGGGAGACAGGATGGAGAGGAGGGAAGTATATATCACAAAAGGTAATTTGAGAGAATAAGAGAGATAGATGATAGATATATTGATATACAGATAGCTAATAGCTCATAGATAGATACTAGATATATTAGAGAGAAAGAGAGAGAGAGAGAGGATAACACCAGATCTATTCTGAATGAATTTTCAGTCAATCTATGGAAATGCAGACTCCAACAACAATGGAAGAAACCAGCATGGTTGCTCCTCAAAGAACTGTTCATGTGGCCTACACTGCTGTGTAGACACCTCAGACAAATGACTGGGTTTATGAAAGAAAATTCAAGTGCAAAAGTATCCTGGAACTATTACTCATAGTAGCCTAAAATTTATGACAAATTAACATTAGTTGAAGAATGTATACGTGAAATACATGTTTCTGTATTAAAAATATAGTTAGAAAATATTGATATATGCAACAGTGTGAATGATTTTAAATTATTAAGAACAATGGAAGATTAAGACAAAATGAGGTACTTTATATTTTATTTTTATTTACATAGCATTACACTGTTTTCCTGAGATCTTTATAAGGT